CAGATCAATGAATATTATCCGAGGAGAATTCAAGGGGACTTCATAGAAAATTTGAAGATTTTTTGAACCTGTCTTCATAAAACGGAGACCATTGAAGGAAATTCCAATGGTCTACGGGTTATGAAAGCAAGTTCGAATTATCTTCTACTTTTTATAAGAAGACCTCTTAAATTTTTATTTATTCAATGGAATTTTTTTTTGTCTTATTGGCTCCAAGTCACGTTTTTAGCATCTCATCCCCGGCTCGGGCTTTCTTAAATTCCTATTACCCTACCAAGACCTTCTTTTTCCAAAGAAGAACATTAATATTTTAATAGATATTTTCTATAGACAGGAGACCACTGACAACTGTTAGAGTATGTTAAACCAATAAGTTCTTCTGTTGCTAACCTCGGAATTCGTCAATGGCACTGTCGTGGCTCATAAAATATAGGAGGCCTCAGAAATTTCTGTAAGAGAAACCCCCACTTAGGTCATCTACGAAAAATGAAACATAGCTGCTCTATAGAAAAAGAAGTGCTACAGACAAATTTCTTAGAAGCTAGGCAGGCACTGGAGACATCTCACTTGTATAGAAATATGATCAGTGATTTCTTCCATAAATTGAAGTCTACAAAGGTTATCTGTAGTTAGAACAAGTAAAAAAGCAGCCAAGTTCGGCCGGACCGAACAATGCCCTTCTCCATTTGGAAGGGACTTGAAAATTTCAAAAAAATCCGTCAAAAAATACCATCTAAATGAAAAGAGTTAAGTGGGACCTATACGAAGACGTGGACCTGCATAGACGATTTTCTGTCATAGTTTGGAATACTAATTGCGAACTTCAAATACGAAACTAAAAAAAAAATCCGTTGAATAATATAGCCCCCATAAAATGATATCTCGTAATATTCGGTATTTTTAAGATTTTCAATTACCGAATATTAGGAGGTATCGTTATATGGGGTCCATACGATTTCGTCGACCTGCATAGACAATTTTCTGTCACAGGTTGAAGTATCCATAACGAACTTCAAATACGAAGTTTGAAACAATTCCGCAAAATAATGTCGCTAAAATCATCAAAAATCCGAATATCGGGAGGTATCGTTTTATGGGGGCTATACGAAGACGAGGACCTGTATAAGTATTTTTTTGTCATAGATTGTAGTACACATTAACACCTTCCAATATGGAATTTGAAACAATTCCTTGCCACATCGGTCTGGTTCATTATTAATTATTAATTTTGATTGAAGACCCCTGGAGCCCTCAACAGAAATAATACCAGCGGGGACTTCTTTAGAGAAAATAACACTGGAGGCTTTTATAGGGGGAAGATCTCTTAGGCATTTAATATTTGAAAACCCCTCGTAATCTTCGAGACCCTTTAAGAATTGATGTTCACTACCATCTTTCATGGAGAGATGACCCCCAACTATGGATCAAATGCCGCTGAGGTCTCCTATAGTAGAGTTGCGGATTTTTGCAGAATGAAGTTCAATGAGGTTTTCTTTCGATAGGAAACCACTGAGGACCTATGTAGACCAACGATTTCTAAGTTATTTTAAGGTATTCTGTAGATGGAACACTACTAAGTTGACCCGTAGTTAAAGTAACAGTAAGATCTTCTATCATATGAGAAAAAATCTATTTACAGGTAGGATATCACTGGTGACCACAATGGTATAAGCAGAAATAATGACGTATACTGGATAGGGGCAGAGCCGCTCCGTTTTTTTTTTTTTTTTTTTTGATAATTTTTGACCTTTTTGGCCCAAAAAAGTTTCCCTTGAAAATCCGCGATTTAAGAGACCAAGACAGTTGCCTTTGAAAACTTACAAAATCCACGGCTACGGATCTGCAAGTCTTCTAGAAATACGTGAATGTTGTGTGAATGTTGTGTTGTGTCCTTCTGTAAAATTTCATCGAAATTCCAACTGTTTGTGGGAAAGTCCGTCCTTTCCATCATTCGAAACATTCCAAACGTTCCTGTGGAAACCCTTCCAAATGGAGAGTCCCTTACCCCGAAATTTCTCTCTGCTCTCTAGTTTATACCTTCTTTAAAATCCTTTCGAAAATCTCCAACTGTTCGTGAAGATCTTAATTGAAAATCTCCGATTCCACCGATCACCCGTGAGTATTATTCGAAACTCGGCAGAAGTTTCTCCGAAAACCCCTAAAAAATGAGAAACCCTTACATTGAAATTTTCTCTCCGCTCTCTTGGTCTTGCTGTTTGTCAAAAGTCCTTTGAAAATCTCCAACTGTAAGTGTGAAAGTCAGTTTAAAGTCCTTTATATCTCTGTCCTCATCCCAGTAAAAATCATTCAAAACTCTGCAAACATTCCTCTGAAAGTCCTTAAGAAATGAGATACTCTTCCCCCGAAAATTCCTTGATAAGAAAGCCTTTAAAAATTGTAAAGAAAAATCCAGATCTTTAAGAACATGATGAATCACATTTTTAAAATCTGCTAATATATTTGCCCTTGAAGTTTTTCAAAAAGATTCTTCTGAAATTTTGAAATTCCATTATTGTTGGTTTTGAAAAAAAAAAAACTGATCAAACCGCTATTACTCCTCTCAAAGTTCTTTAAAACTTCCAAAAATCGGAATGTCCTTGAAATAATATTTTCAAAAAACGAATAGTTGTTTCGATAAATCCTTCAAATATCTATGTCAAAGGGCATTATTCTTTGCGTATCGAAATTTTGTAAAGGTATAGGATATGGCAATTTGAAGGGCCTTGAAGGAGTTTCGCTTATATCAGATATGAAGTCCTGTATTTTTTGTATAATTGTCAGACCTAAAAACTTTAGGAAAATTCTTCAGGAAACATTTTTCCAATGCCTAGCCAAATCCTGAATTATTTATACCATTTTATTCAAAATCCACCTGTGTAAAGATTTACAGATTTTCTATCAGAAGAGAACAAATATTTTAATGGCACGGACCTTTTTAAAAATTAGCTATACATTTTCTCAGAAAAAAAAATCCTCTTATCTTCTTTAGATCTTTAAACCCTAGAACACTATGTGTTGGGGGTATTATAAGTTAGGCTAGGCCAAAAATTATGTAACATCTCGAAATAATGGTTTTCGACATAGAAAACTATATATATGGATCTTCCTATCCTATTTCCATGTTAATTTGTAATCACGCTACAGGATTCCCAATGAAATTGAAATTGAAAATGGAGGTGGGGATAGAGTCAGAATAGAACCCTATTGTTTTTGGAGATGATCGCACACCATTTATGATTTGAAATGGACCAAAAAATTAAAATTTTCTGATTTCGCAGCCGCTCTACAGGTCTCAATTAAAAATCAATCGACACGGAATTTTTCATGAGAAGAGAGTTAAGTACTGGGAAGAAGTCTAGCATTTTAGATGACCATTGGATTAGATTTAGCTGTAAAATGGACCACAAAATGAAATTGTTTTGAATACCTTACAACACTACAGATTGCGTAAACATTGGGCAAATGCCCCCGGTAAAAAAGGGCTAAGGGTAGATCTCTATGACATCGTATCAAAAACGAAATCTTCCAAAATGGATTTGGACATAAGGGCCTTTCAACATATTGTAGTGTTGTAGGTTAACACATGATCGGCCCCGCACCACCACAGCCTTTGCTTACTTTTTTATAAATGATTTTTGGATTTTTTCTATAAAGATTTTTTAAAAGACCTATTTATATTCCCTAGGAAAAATTTTCAAATAATGTAGTATTTTCAATTAAATAACCTCCTCCCCCCACACACACATACACGCCACTTTTCGATATATTTCTAAATTTAATTATCCCAATCAATGGCAATTTGTTTGTCAACACTTACTAATTTATCAAAAAAAAAAAAAAAAAATCATAAAAATCAGTTTGTTTCCAAATTTCAATATTTAAATCCTTATTTGGTTTTAATTCCCAGAATATTCCCATATCTCCTACTCGACACAAAAAATTCCCACAATTTCGTAATTGAGGCACCCAAAAAAAAAAAATGTGTGTGAAACCATTATTCAATCACCACCCCATTTCGTTTATGGGCCAACTGAAATAAAAATCCACAATAAATTCTTAAGAAATTTAAATCGCATTAAAAAAAAAAACAATTAAAAAAATATTAAGTTCGGCCGGGCCGAACTTTTAATACCCTCCTAAGGGTAATGGAAACACTAGAACCAATTATGACCCACAAATACCAATTTTTAGACATATTCGTGGGAAATTTGGCAACAATCATCAAAATACCGAATATCGGGAGGTACCGCTATATAGGGCTATAAAAAAGCGTGGAGGTTATATGGAGGCTATACCAAAGTGTGGACCTATACATACAATGTTTCGGCGCTCGAACTAGGACCCATTAAGACCTACAAATACCAATTTTCAGACAAATCCGTGAAAAAATGTGGTAAAAATCATCAAAATATCGAATATCGAGAGGTACCTTTATATGGGGGCTATACCAAAACGTGGACCTATACATGCAATGTTTTGCCACACGCACAGGGACCCGTTATGACCTACAAATACCAATTTTCAGAAAATTCCATGAAAAAATGTGGCATAAATCATCAAAATACCGAATATCGGGAGGTACCGTTATATGGAGACTATACCAAAACGTGGACCGATATATCTCATTTTCAATACCAACCATCCTAGACACAATAAAAATTATTCTGCTAAATTTTGACGCTCTACGTCAAATAATGTGGCCTGTATCGTGATTTCAACAGACAGACGGACGGAGAGATAGACAGACGGACAGACAGACAGACAGACAGACGGACGGACATCGTTAAATCGTCTTCGAGTTTTATGCTGATTATGAATATATATACATTATAGGGTCTACGACGAATATTTAGGGATGTTACAAACGGAATGACAAAGTTAATATATCCTCCTTTCCAAGGTGGAGGGTATAAAAATATTCATAATTTGTTGTTGCTGTTGTTGAGATTGGGATTCTTAATAATTTTTCATTTTTCTTCTGTTTTACATTTCATTCACAGATTTCTGTGATTTGCCGAAGACACATATGGAGGCAGTCAAGCCGGCAACCTACCCCAAATCGAAACGCGCTGAGAGAGGCCACATCTGATGCTACTGAGGCTGCCCTGAGGGTATAACACTTTCGGGAAAGGCATTTAACACCATTGCATTTGTCATCGAGAATATCAGCCACAGCAATAAAAACAACGACAACAACAAAAGCAAATTCTGTCAACCATCAGATTTCTAATAAATCATTTAAAAGCGGTGGCGTTTTTGTTGGGCTTTCTTAACGCCATCATCACCATCACCAGCGCCGCCAGAACTGCGCAGCAGATTTTTTGATTGAAATTTGTAAAGAAAAAAAAAAAAATTTAAACTATTAAAGCAGAATGCTTTGCATGATTTATTGAGTCAAGGAGCCCCCAATGGACTATAGAAAATAAAAGCAACAACAACAGTCATAAAAGCTTTGTATATGGACTTCGGAAGAAAAAAAAATTCTTATGAAAGCAAAAAATATGAAAAATTAAGCAACAAAAAGCAATAATAATTCTAGATTGTGAACAAATGAAGAACTAAGTGCCTGGAAATTTAATTCTATAACAGATGAAAAGAGAGAAAAACATAAAAAAGAAAAAAACTTATGAAAAACTCAAATCAAATAAAGAAAATCATAACTTTTTCTCCCCTACACCCCAACACCCCCCCGACACTTGTTTAGAAAGTTATGCCGCACATAATGGCCATAAATAGATTTTAAAGAAGCCACGCTTGCCAAAAAAAAGAGAGAAAACATAAAAAACACTAAAAGCCAAAATATTCTCAACAATACCCGAAGGATTTTCGCAGTCTCTTAATTTTGTCCATTTTGCAGCTACTCTCAAAAAAAAATGTGGCCATTGTTAAATTGCCAACCAGCAAAAGGCCACAAAAGTTTACAACAAACACCCCATTATCGGAAATTCACTTTAAAGCTCTAAAAAACTGAGAGAGAGAAGGACAACGAGAACAAAAAGGACAATTTGACAAATCAAGTCAGAAAGGTTCGGAATCCACCTTCCTCCTCCACAAGAACACTAAAATACCACATTTCGGCTTACGGCCCATTTTTAAGTTAACGAAAAAATAACCAAAACAAAACTTTCGCCCAAGTTTCCGGTGTCATCGACATCATTGACAACACTCAGCTCCGCCCGACTCCACCTCAACCCAACCCACATTGACCCATTGAAATTTGTGACAATAATAAACCAGCTAGCCAAGCAGTTATTGGGAGCAACCTGAATATTAAGGACATCAACACTGCCAGCAAAACATCTGCAGCAGCAACAACAAATAGTAATACTACTACAACACCAACAACAACAACAACTCGAATAATGTTGGCCGGCATAAGAAAACGCTTAGCACGCAAGTAAGTACTACCAAGTTCTGTTTTTTTTTTTGTATTCCTCCACTCACTTTTGTCTTTCTGTGACTATCTAAAGAATTCATGGAAGTATTTAGGAAAGAGGGCACAGAGAGGGAGGAAGAGGGGAGAGAGGGAGAAAAGGAAATTGTTTTTTTTTTCTATACAGTGCTATTTTTATTTTTGGGGAGTTGGGTCAAAGGACATTGTTATTTACATACCGACATTTTTGGAAAGGTAAAGGATATGGGATTTTTTCAGGGCCTGCGATGAAGGGGGCCTTTGGAAGGATTATCAAAGTTCCTGAAGGATATTTTTTTCAATTGGAGCATTGATATTTAAAAAATCAAAAATTATATTGAGAAGCTCGATGACTAACAGAGTCTAAGGACTTATTTGTATTTTAAGGAGTATTTAGGTCGGAACTCTCAGATTTTTGGTGTTATGTTAGCCCGATTATTGGAAACTGAATTCTTTCAGGAAATTTTGTCTTTTCGTTGGCAATTTTTTCCAAAATATATTTTACAAGGACTATCGGAGTCCTGAAGATTCTTTGGACAATTTTGTCAGGGATTTTGGGGCAATTGACCTATTTGGGGATAATTTTGTCATGGATTTTGGGCCAATTGACCTATTTGGCGATAATTTTACCAAGGATATTTTGGAAAGAGAAGAGGGTGTTATTTTCCGATGTGGACAGTTGGTTCAAAGGACATTGTTATTTACCGAAATTTTTGGAAATTTAAAGGATATAGGATTATCACAGTTCCTGAAGGACAATTCTTTTTCAATTGGAACACTGTTAGTTTAAACATCAAGAATTACATTTTAAAACTTGATGACTACCAGCGTCTTAGGATTTTGTTTGTATTTTAAGGAGTATATAGATCGGAAGTCCCTGATTTTCTGCTGTTCTATTATCCTGATTATTAGGAACTGAAAACTCTGTGGAAATTTTATAAAAAAAAAATTTTATAAAAATAAGTTTTCCAAGGACTATCGGAGTCCTGAAAATTCTTTGGCCAATTTTATCATGGATTTTGGGCCTACTTAATTATTAGGGGATAACTTTACCAAGGATATTTTGGGATGAGAAGATAGTTTCTTTTTTTTTTTTGAGGTGGACAGATGGATCAAAGGACATTGTTATTTACATACCGAAATTTTTAGAAAAGTAAAAAAAGATGGAATTTTTAAGGGCCTACGATAAAAGGGGTCCTTTGAAAGGATTATCAAAGCTTTTGAAGGATGATTTTTTTTCTGAATTGGAAAAGTGTTAGTTTTTGACTATCAGAGACTAAGGATTTATTAATATTTTAAGGAGTATTTAGATAGGGAGTCCCTGATTTTCGGTGTTATAATATCCTAGCTATTGGGAACTAATAAAGTTCTGTCGAAGGCCTTCCAGAATCCTGAATTATTTTTGTATTTTTTTGATCTGTTTTCCAAGGACTTTCAGGGTTCTGAAAATTATTTTGGAAGGAGGAGCGATAGAAACGGAAGTGATTTTTTCTTCACAGAGCAGCGTTCGTTCTGGAAGTTGGGTGAAAGGACATAGGACATATCTAAATTTTCCAAATGTAAAGGATATGGAATGTTTGGGCGCCTGTGATTAAGGGAACCTTTTTAAGGATTATCCCAGATGTTAAAGTTGTTTTTAATCCCATTTTTATACTCTCAGCCATTTAGCTGCAGAGGGTATATACAATTTGATACGGTTAAAACTTGCCTCATCGAAATAACAATTTTAAACCCTGGGTCTCTTTGCATCAAATCCGTTTCAGTACATTTGGAGTTGATCTAGCCATGTCCGTCCGTCCGTCCGTCTGCCTGTCTATCTGGTACGCACGATAACTTTCGAAGGGAGTATTCGATTTCACCCAAGTATTCGATTTCACCCAAGCATGGGTGAAAGATGGGCAATATCTGTCCACTCATTCTGGTATCTCCCCCACAAAAGGACAAGATTTTTCGCAGAAAATAATTGACCGCAAAAAAAACACGAGCGGATCAAAAATCGCAATATTTGTATGAGTTCTAGGTCAGGTGCGAAAATTAACAATATCGGTCCACTACTTCCACACAAAGGGTCAAAGTTCGGAATAATTATAAGCAACCGATCCTCTCCAAATTTCGCACACGACAATATTTCCATCAACACATAATCTAGCATGAAGATGAAATATATTAGGTCACTCCTTCTGGTACCTCCCCCCCCACCACCGCTCAAAATTTTGAATAACTATGAAGCTCATAAAACGCGAAATTAACATCCGATTATTTTTAAACTTGGTACATCCCCATATTTCTGCTTACACAAGACCTGCCGTGAAGATGGAAAACGTCGGTTCACTTCTTCTGGTACCTCCCCCATAAAGGGTCAACGTTTTGAATAACAAAAGTGATCATAAAATCCGAAATAAGCATTCGATTCTCTTCATACTTCACATATCCCAATATTTCTATTAACACAAGATCAGCTGTAAAGACGGAATATATCGGTCCTCTCCTTCTGGCACCTCCCACACAAAGGGTCAAAATGTTAAACATCCAGGAAGCTCATAAAATTAACATCCGATTCCATTCTGGATTCCGGACGAACATCGCAAAACGAAATAGAATTTTCTTCTTATCAAGAATATATATACTTTGTAAGGTCTTCGATGTTTATACGGAATGACAAATTTAATATGCCCTCCATACTATGGTGGAGGGTATAAAAATAGAATACTTCTGCCGACTATGCCTGCCCCTCACGCACATTTAAACCTTTTCTAGAAATTATCACTCATTTTTCAAAGACTTTTTCGAACTGAAATATCTGAAGACTTTTTTGTCCACAAAACCAAGGATTTTCAAAGACCAATAATTCATGCGGATTTTCAAAAGACTTTTTGGGAAAATATTACGGTATTTCGAGTGACTATTTATGAATTTTGATGTATTTTCATACAGTACAATCTACGGATTTAAGGTCTTCAGGTATGCCGTTTTGGCTTTCGAAGGTTGTTCAGATGACCTCTGTGGGAAGTCTTAACGAAAAAAGTTAGAGATCTTCGATTTTCTTCTGGTATTTGAATTTCGCAATGGATACTACAGCCTAAGACAGAAAAATGTTCCTGCATAGCACCCCCCCCCCCATAAAGCCCCCATACAACGCTAACTCCCTATATTCGGTATTTTCGTGATTTTAGCTTCATTATTCACCGGAATTTTTTTAAATTACGTATTTAGAGCTCGTTATGCAGGTCCAGATCTTCGAATAGGTCCCTATATTCGGTATTTTGACGAGTTTAGGTACAATACTCACCGAAATTGTTTGAAATGTCGTATTTTAAGTTCGTAATGGATGCTACAGCCTATGACAGAAACTTGTCTATGCTGGTCCAGGTCTTCGCACAGCTCCGATATAACGGTACCTCCCTATATACGATATTTTGATGATTTTAGCTACATTATTCACCGTTTATTTCAAGTTCCGAATTTGAATTTGGTAATGACTTATGACAAACAATGCTATATTCGGTATTTTTAAAATTATAACAGAATTTTTTAAGGATTTTATTTTCAAATTCGTTCCAAATGGTGGAGGGTATTCAAAGTTCGGCCCGGTCGAACTTACTTGTTTTTTAAGTATTTTTTTTTGTAAATCGTGAATTTTTCAAAGATTTTTGTGGCAAGTCCTGGATTTTTCGTATAAAATCCATGAAAACAGCGGACAATTCAGCGGACAGTATGAATCCTGGAAAGTAATCGGAAGTATATCATTGAACTTTTCAGAACAAAAATCCTGGGAAATATTTGGGCATTTTCAAGGACTTATAGGGTTGTAAACATTTCATGAACTTTTAGGGAAAAATGCTGGAGAACAGTCGTGTATTTCATGTTAAACTCAAAATGAAAATTTCATGAACTTTTCAGGGATTTTCCAGCTCTCAGTCTCATACCATTCAGAGAAATGTCCTGAATTGCAATGGAGGTTATCTTTCTATCGAAGACCCATAGAAGCACATCTAATTATAGAAGATCTGTAAAATATCTTCTATATATTCGACCTATTGAAGATCTTGGAGATTCTATGTATAGAAGATTGGCGGGCCATAAAAGAGTTGTCAAGACAAAGGACTTTAGGCCTTCTTTCATGGCCCTATCTATCCTTCCTAATACCAATGCAAACAAATTTCCCACATTCTCCCCCTCTAATATTGAGTTGCTCCAGCTGCTTCTTCTCATTCCCAAAAAAATTCAATTTCTCAGACGCAGATACATTTTGCCGTGTTTCGGCTGATTGTTGGAAATTGTCGTCAACGGCGGCATCATCACAGCCATTATGGATGGCAACCAAAAAACACAACTGCAAAGAAGATTTCATTAACTTTTACTCAGAGAACTCATAAAACCTCAACCAAGGGGTCAGTTAATAAAGACAGGACGGGAGGGGAGGGGGTTGGAGAGAATTCTTTGTGATGTGTACGGCAGTTTTGCATGGCAGGCTTAGAAGTTGCCAGGGGAGGGCGACAAATTCTTAGGCATCAAAACCAAAATGCCATGCTGGGCTGGACTAAATAAAGAAGGAAGTCAGAACAAACCGGAGATCTAATAAAATTTAATCACAAATTTGGTGTTTTATTTAATTAAAAAGAGAGAGAGAGAGAGAGAGAGAGAGAGAGAGAGAGAGAAAAAGAAGCAACGGTGGCAATAGATTTTGGATTTTTTTTTTATTTTTTCTCCTTTTTCTTTGGTTTTTTTTTTTTTTTTTTTTTTTTTTTGAAGGGGGATAGTAGATTTTTGTTCTAATTTTTGGGATTAGCTGGAAATTGAATTTTCCGCCTATTTTCCTTGGGAAATTTAATTTTATTTTAAACTCTAATTTATGTTAAAAGACCTGGCATGCTTTGTGGAGGATATTTACTTAATTAGAGGGGAGTATTTTTTTGAAATTATGTAATTTTTGACTTCTCGCTTCCTTCTAATTAAATCCAATTACCTAATTATCAACCTGCATT